GTAGTGTTTATATTAAGTTACCTCAAAATAACCCTAGATAAACAACAAAAGGAAAGTTAATACAACCCCCAGTTAAATTCCGTGACTTTAACGCACCGTTATTAAATTTAATATTGCGTTCTACAGTATTCATGCCTGCAAATTATCCTTTCTACCTCATATTAAGCAAACGTCTCATTATAAAATTCAGCGGGGAATGATTCCTCACGTATACTTCCATCTTTCTTCCTTTCCTCTGTATCTTTCGGACTTCTACATTATTTCCTCCATTCTCCCCCGTTCTTTCACCATATCTTATTCTATCATTTTGTGGTCCATAAAAGAATCCAACCCTATCATCACATGCAACATGCAACACTTTGCTATCTCGCATCACTGCTTAGGAAGTTTTATACGCGCCTTGCTATGTCAAAGTTTTCTCAGAGGTCTCTTGATTAGTTTGTAAAGATTAGAGTTCATAGTTTAGGTATTGTTTTTATCAAATATTATTATTTATAATAAATATAGTTACTGATGTAATATACGCTCGAGTATCAACATCCGGGGTCCGCAGTGGCCTCTTGGTCACTGGGACCGTGGGTTCGAATCCCACTCAAGCCATGGATGTTTGTGCAGAGGCCTTGCGACTGGCCGATCCCTCATCCAAGGAGTCCTACCGAATGTCTATAGATCGAGCAAACGAAAATTTGGGACCTGTAGTGCTCAGGCACTTGAAGAACGGGTCGTTCCCAGTATCCCAGTATCAGCGTCCATTTATGCAGTAAATATATGTCGCCCTGCCTGTCTGTAGTAACCTCACATGAAAACCACAATATGAAACTGAATCTTATATACTAAATTTAATAATGCTATTAATAAGAGTCAGTGTTTGCAGTTTTACTGCAAGGAATTTGCGACAGATGCTTACATTTCTCAGCAGTCTTTCGTGCCACAAAATTCAGGACAGGCTTGAATACCCGACACGTGTTGGAAACAGCTTTTGCGACTAAAAGTTTCACGCACAGTAATCAGTTCCAAATATACTCGTAAATTTAACCTTTCGTTCAGCATGAATACAGTTAATATTCAGGATCTATGGTCGTCACAGCAGCTCAGGTATCCCCAAAGCAAGAAGTCTAAAGGCGACAAAGTGTAGGTCTGTATTGTGCTGTTGACTGCCTCAAAGCTTAAAAGACGAACTGCTAATACACACGTTTCTTTCTAACTGCTGAAAGGATTTCGTCATGTCTGACGTCTCACGTTTTAAAGTTTTCCTTTCGAAAGTCGATAATCACCCAGCAACTGAAGATGATTATTTCCTGTTTTTATGGATCCGTATTGCCGTGTTTACTGAAGCACTTCGGTCTGTGTACTTCCACCTTGACAATCCACTTCTCAGAGATTTTATATTTCCGCAGATTTATACGCCTCCATTTTCCTGACCATACTTTTACAAGCATTTTTTGTTTCACATGTACCTGATAGTGTCCACCCATCGAATCTTCCACGATTTAATCACTTTCATATGGCAAGTGCATGAGTATCCTTCTTGTGCAATCGTAATTGTAGTGTTTTGTCAGTGTATTTTTCTCTGTACGCGAATCGTAAGTCCCTTAACTTTTTTTAATAAATTGATATATGCCTACAAGTTAAAGTTTTGGGCTCAAATGAAAGCGGATTTTACTTTCTGTGCGTCAGTTCCGCTTGTGGGGAAAAAAAGGATAAGTTTTAACCCGCAAAAAATGTAACGTCGAACTGCAAAAGTTAACTTCATGGCGAATGGCAAACTTTGGCATTAAAGGTGGAAGGCTCATGAATGCGTTGACACTTTATAGGGGTGTAGGGGGGGGGGGTTCATTTAAATTATTCGAGTCTGGATGAATGTACGAAGCCTTATATAACCGGGATTTTCACTACCGATTATCTTGTGACTAGCAATGCGATTCTGGGAGGTGAACTGGGGACGGACTTACAGACTCTCTCTCCTAATGTTGGCCCACAGGAATGAATGGTACTCGAGGCAAGACAGAGCCATCGACTTTGAAAGCATTACTCTGCATATCAAATATGCCACGGACGGAGTTTTTGCTTCAAACTGAAGTTAAAACATTTTTCTCTCCTTTTTTCTCTCTGAAGCAAAACAAACAAACAAACAAAATCTAAGAACAAAAATTTTATGCGGGCTCGATAAAAATGAGTGGACAATTTTCGTTGACTGCAAAAAATTTGATTCGTGATAAAATATACTAATTTTAATTATGCCTGGCTTTGAGAATCACTCACTGATAAAAGTTTTGTCGTTGATATCGTGGTTTTATGTTTGTATTTCATTTCCTATTTTTAATTAGCTCGTCAAACATTTTCTAACCTATTTTCCTCTTCGCGTTACATTTACAGATTTCAGTCGTAAACGAATCAAAATAAACGCCTTGTAATTCGTCAGTACCCGGAGGCCCTAAATGTTCTTTAATCAGTACAGACTCAGGAGATGGACGGACTCTTTGTTCCAGTCTGGAACTGCAGAAATTGAATTTGCTTGGAAAGTTTCATTGTACATCTAGCATACGAAATTAATATTTGCGTCAAACTTATACACCACGTACAAGACACGTGGTGTATACAGCTAAATTTAAAAAAAGAACATTTCTAGCTTAAACCATGTCCGTTGGTAAAAAAAAAATTCCAGACGTTTCAGGGATCACATCGTTTCTCATCAACACAGAACTGTTTATGAGTTGAGATACTCCCTGAAACGTTGGTGATGTCTAATCAACTGACACAGGTAATAGCCAGAGAGGGTTTTACTAATACCAGTCGCTGTTAAATCTTTGCAACTTAGACCTTAATGTCACAAGCCTTGTAATTTTCAAATATAGCAACATTTTCCTACAGTTTTATAAACATATATCAGGGTAATATGAAATGCACCCCTTCATGGTTAATAGCACAAGAGAAAAAACATTTTAACCCTGGGTTTTTCTTAAAATAAACTCTACTGCAAGATTGAAATTGCGTGTTTAAAACAACGTATCTCTAACAACTGCTTTCTTGGTGGTTAATAACAGGTTCATTCGCTAGATCAAGACCCTTGTTCGCATTCTGTCACTTTCCGCTTTGATTATGCTTGTGTTAGTAACTAGTGGGGAGTCTTCTGTTAATGACAGAAATGGAAACCCACACCCAGGAAACGATAAATGACCCCGGGTAATTCCGATGTCCCTTATCGCGTGTTGGGATTGAACCAAAACCCATCTGGACACAAGGCTAGAACGGTAACAGCTATACTACTGTGATGGTTATTTTGTATTAATGACAGTGATTAGAATCAAACCCAGGGGTCAACTACACTAATCCCTGCTCCCAGAGCGACCACTCTCACTACTGACATTCTGGGACGAGTCTGTGATGACGCCCCCTCAAAATGCGCTTGGCTCCACATGTAAAGTGACAGTTATTCTCGTCCGCTTTCAGCGAAATTTAAATCGGCCACTGCGTTTTTAGTAAATGTCCCTAGTATCAAATTTTATGAAAATTCGGTCAATCGGTCTCGAGTTGTTACATGCGTAGAGACGAACTAATTGATTATGATAATCGCTCCACTGGGACTCGGGCCATCCTATTAGCGGTACCTGTGTGCAGTTTTGTGGACATTTTTCTGTATTAATCGTCTTGCAAATTGAAAGTAGCAAATAAAACAGTGAAGGTAACACGTTCAGGCTAATGTTTATTTCTGAAACACCTATTTCTTAATGAAATTATGATATATTTTGTTCCATATAATCAAAGTTTCCCTTATTAGCGGACCCGTAAGATTCTAAGACCAGGCAGAAACCTTTATCTGACTATTCAGGTAACCACCCGGGCTGCAATTACAGCGGCTGTACGTGGTTCGTCTCTGGGGATCGGATAGGAAACTCTGATCTTTGTAGTCTACAAAATGAGGAGGAGGTCTTACTTGTTTCGTGAGGGCGGAAATAGCAAAGCGGCTGGCTCTGAACTCAGGACCACGCCGACACTTCTTGGTCGTTTTAAGCCGTCAGCATCTACGGTGATACGAGATTTGGTGAAGCCATCTTCAGGAGGGAAGACGAGACGGTTGGCAGTCCTGTTTGTATCGAACACGCCCACTCCGAACAGCAGCGCCGTGTTGTTGCTGCGGCAGAAGTGAAATGAAACTTAAGATGTAACATGCAAACAAACTTAAGTAGCAAATAACAATTTGCATCCTTTTATGACGTAAGAAACCTCGTGTCGCAGAGTCCTTCTTGAGAATCTAACAGTACGTTTGCTAGTGAAGACATGTTTCGTCTTTTATACAGCCCAAAGCTTCCTTACCGAGTTCACAAAAGAGTTCGCCACAGATTTGAGATTTAGCCATTCTCTTAGACTCACGAGCTGCAACATAACATTGTCCTTGGTATGCGTCCGATGCTGGAAATCGAGAACAGCTGGTGAAACAACCATTTTGGCCTTTGTAATTTTTTTCGAGTGACCTAGCTGTTACAGATTTAAAGTATGTTTCTATCCGTACTTCTCTTTTAGAATTTCGAGAGTAATCACTAACATATCGATCAATAGGTCACTGCAGTTTATAATAGGTGTCTTTCCGGGTGCTTGGGGCTAACAGTCTTTCAGCGTTGAGTCATCTGTTACAAACTGCTTAACATCACAGCGGACTTCGATGAAATCTTTTTAACATAATGCGGTTGTGCTAATATGGCCTGAGATCTTCTGTCTCGAGAGAGGATCGGATGCCTCCTGTTCTGAACACGGTAATCAGCCTTCTGGTTCCATAATGCGGGATTAATTTCTTGATGAGATGAACGACCACTCGCTTATCAAGAAGGATTGTGATTCATTGAATAAGTTGATCGATTATTTAGACTAGTAATAACTATTTATTCTGAGTTATAGATTGTAGTAAGTCCCTCAAGAGGTCAGGACAGTCAGACAAAATACAGCTCCAAAAAGTTGGTAACATAAGTTGATTAAAATTAATGGTAATACTGAGTTTTAGGGCTAGTAGGAAAATGTGATTTTACATCTCAGTCAGTAAAGCAACTAGGCCAAGAGGTTGGAAGACCGGGGTAATATTCTCGGCGGTGGAGACGCGGCCTGGGCATACTAACGTCAATCTAGTGCCGAGTCGAAGAATCCACGAAGCTATTCCTCCACTTCGTCACACGTCCTTGAAACTTAGAGCTAATTAAGCACGAGGAAGGACTTGGGTTCATTTCAACTTTACCTTGGCAAGAACGTAGCGTTGTATTTGAAGTTTTCTCCGAGGTCTGCAGCTAAGGAGGCGAGTGTAAAGCCGACGCTGGTTGCCAGTGAGTTCAACACCGACCCCAGCGACACCCTTTGCGACTGCAATTCAAACATCCTACGTAAGTGTAAGAAGCTGGAGACCCAGCAGGTTAACACAGCGCTAGCGTCGCAGTCACGTCACACAGTCTGCGTCCGCCATGTATCTACTTTTTTTTTTGCACGACTTTGGAAGAATACGGAATTGGCAGAAAACATTATCACCACTTCAGCCCACAGGTAAAATGGAAAATAGTTGAAGTAATGTTAGGTTCATATAATGTCGTGATGTAATATGACTTAAAATTTAATTACGTTGGTGAGATTTCAGGTTCTCACTGTGACAGAAATTAAGTTGGCCGCGCCGTGTAATGTGGATGATATTGTCTGACATTTCATGAGTTCACAGCCTCCTTCATCAGGGCGATGAATAAGATGACTGCGAGAAATTTGGTTGAGTTATATGAACGGATAAAACAAGACAAAACCGCGACCAGGCCAGTGGGGGGGGTAGAGGGGGGGGGAGGGCAGGGGCAGTAGGGAGAGGAAGGAAATGGGAAACAGTTTGTAGAATGAAGATAGGGATAAATAATGAAACAAAATATGAAATAAATAAAGTGGAAAGTGATAGAGCGTGGCATGTCAGAAAAGAGTCATCTTGAGTTGGTGGACAGTGAGAGGCAGTTATTTCAAAGGCGTCACGTCACCATGGCGTCTCACCTCCACCAGCTGCTCCAGACCCAGCTTGGACACAAGAAGTCTGCCCATAACTCCTGTGGCCGACGATGTGAAAATGGCGGACTTATTGAGGCGGATCGCCGGGTACTCCCAGAGCACCTGCCGCATATGCAACCTGAACGTCGACCCGAGGATCCTCATCACGTCGCTGAGCTCGTGGCCGAAGAACGACGTGCGGTTTGCCCACTTCTGCATGAAGCTGGCGATCTGAACCGCGTCTCTGCCTTCTGAAATCTGGAATTTATGGGGGAACGTCAACGCTTCCTTGCCAGCGTACAAGTTGGCGTGATGCCTCGCGCTCAGTAGCTACGTTCTTTGTTACACGTTTTTTTATATAAATATTAAGTGACGGAACTACTTTGTGAGCGTGACTTCAGCGCACTTTGTTTTCCCACTGCTAACGTTTAAATTACTCACCTCTTCCTCAGCCTCCTCAATCCACATGTGAGTACAGTTGCCGTAGTCGGGTACACTGCCAACGAAACTGTTCCCATACGAATCACAGAACCACTTGGCTTCCCCTAAGGCCCTATTAGGACAAGGACGAGTCACGTAGGATCCAGGACACCCCGTCCAACCGTTTCCGTACTGATCCTGACCCTTGCAAGGGACCGGACAACCAGCAGGCTCAGAGGCGATAGACGTTGTCTCGTCCGTGTTCGGAGAAATTGCAGCGTCATCATCGGCCACAGCCGATACATTGCCCGCACCGGGCTCATACGCAGAAGTGCTGTTGCCGTCTGTTTCGGCATTCATAGTCGTAACTGAGTAATTCCAGCGACGGCTTGTCATCTCTTCACTGCGTGGATTTTCACTAGTTATGTCAGCAGCCGAATTCTGGGCGGAGACAGTGCGTCTGTTATTTTCTACCTCGCTGCTTTCGACATCGGTACGAGGTTCTCCAGAAATTTCCTTGCCTTCTCTACGGCTCGCAGGAGAGGTTTCGGCCTCTCCTGCGCGTGTCCCGAAGTGCTTACTGCGAGATTCGTCCGTTCCTGAACCCCTGGAAGTGTTCCCGGAGGACAAGTGTGTGGACCGAAGTTCTCTCGCGCCTTGCTTTGCCTGGAGGTTTCCCAATCCTTTGTTTGAAACGCCAGTCCCGAGAAATCTTTCGCGCTCAATGTGGCTCGTTTCGTGAAGTGTCGTGCTGAATGAATGTCGACGTTCTCCTTTCGCTGGAGTCCAAGAGCACCAGCAAACAGCATCTGTAAAGAATCACACACATTAACCCCGTATATCTCAAATTAGTTGTTGGTAGAAAGAAATATTTGGGACAATTTTAAAACCACCCATAAAAGAAGATTTGTACGATTTTAATGTTTACTATATACTCAGTTCTTACTTCAAAGTTACAATGATACATAAAGTCTTCACACTGAACATAATAGGTCTAAATTGTATCGAAGAACAAATGTCGTCTTTCTGAAGATGGCTGTCTTGCATGTTATTGTTTGAGGAGTCGATTGCTACTCGGCTTGTCAAACAATAGCCCACTTTCTTTATGGGACCCGAAGGTTCATCACCGTGTTCCCAACAGCCCGCCACAAGACCTTATCCTGATCCAGTTCGCTTCATCGATCCGAAACTCCCTAAGGTCCATCTTATAAGTACAATTTTGATGCGGATGTATAAGCTGAACAGTTCGAAAGTCACAGAACTATATATCAGGCATACGTAAGAGAGAAATACATTTTAATAAGATAATTTGAAGAGAAAAGATCACACGTATGGCAACTCTGTATTTCGGGGAATATTTTTTAAACATTGTAAGAAGGAGGTTCCGATTGAATTCATTCGCCTCTAAATAATGTAGAACGGCGGGTTGTTACAAAAACTGTAATAAAACATAGGATCTTATAAGAATAAGCGAACATCTTGCCTCGTTTATCGACCGTCAGCTCAAGACTATCTGTGCTTCATCGACTTGCGTATTTATGTTCTGTTCCCTCGAAAGGTCACACGTGGCCTCGTATTGTTCTCAGTTCCATGAATGAAAGACACTGGAATAAACGAGGGAGGTTCAGCCTATACAAAATAAATGCGGGGGATGACGGATTTCCGGTAACATCGGATTGTTGCTACCCTGCACGTTTCCTGTATTATTTTATTGATTGGTTTATCAATTCTTCAACGACGCCCTTTCAATTGGCTACGTTATGATTGACGAATAGACTACGATTGGGTGGGAATTTGGCGCTGTCTTTGCAAGACACCATCAGCGTGTCACGAGAGCAGTTAAGTGGACTTAGCTCAGCAGCATCGGTACATCTTACTCAAGCCGGTCTGCGGTTCTGTCAATGCGCCGACAGTAGTAGCCGCTCTGGGCTTAAAACTGATCATGTGACTGATTCTCCAAATGTTCTTTTGCAATGGTTGAATCAACAAAATAAATTTAAAGGCAAGCGAAACAAAAATGCAAAGTTAAACACCATGGAAGAACAAACATGAAGATTGCGTATCTGATGAACGCTTGCAAAGTCCGTGGATTTTCCTCCACTGCTGTCCGTTTTAGATGTAAAGTGGCCTGGATTTCTTGAGTCTGGGTTTATTTTAAACAGCATCGTTAAACTGTCGAATTGGAAGCCGACCCCAATACACTTCGTATTTTATTGGAGTTTACGAAAGTAACCTTTCTACTCCGCTCCGTTTTCTTACTGATGCATGTGAACGTCGTTCGGGATAAATTGTCCTTCAGCAACCCGCTTAGATTTCGTCTTGGCATTACAACGTAAACTTTAGCTGGGAGTGCGCTTAAGTTACAACCTTCCAAATTGGAAGTTTCGTCTGGTTAGGATATATCATGTCTGTTGTTTAACATCGAAACAGATTGAAGAGTGTAGTTCGAAAACTCCCTCAGTCCTTATAAGAAACTTTAGGGAACATGGACCTCTGATGAAGCGGAATTCAGCGGATTACCAGAAAGTGCGCTAATCTGTGAGTCTGAGGTACTCCTTTAAGTACACCTTAGAACGTGAACCTTGATCTGTCGACCTAGGACTGTGTCATAGCAGATTCATTACACTCGTGACACCGGGTGTTCTAGAGTAACATTCTCTGTGCCGTATCACAGCGATTGTAAGAAACGAGGTTCTACTTTGCAAAAGAGGACACCACTGATTAATGCACCAAGTGATGAACGGATTGCCCAAGCCCGAAATTATTGTTTGTGTGTCTGTGTGTTTGCTTACAGTGAAATACGGAGTCCTTTTTGCAAACAGAAATATAATCAATATATGATCATCTAAAGCCCGTTAAATTAAATAACTGAACAGACTTTTCTTTATTTAACACATTAATTCGTAATAACATCACTTATTCAAAAGACAGCTGTAAGGAAAATAGAAAATTTGAATCTTAAAGTATTGTGACCAGTTTTCAGATTAGATCCTCCACGTCTGATGTTGTAAAAGTGTATGGAGATCTTGAAGTTTAGGCTTCAAGTATTCTATATCATGTTACTTGATAAGGGTGTCGCTAGCTTCTCGCTCTGACCGTTTTATCCCCGGAGAAATAACCCGTGGGGTTCATCGCGTACGAGGATAGACGGGCCTTAGAGCTGGTCTGGGTGTAGCAGTCGAGCCCTTACGGGAACAGAGCTTGGTCGCCTAACCAACACTAAGTCGCTTCGCTGGCTGAGAATTTTATAATATAATCAATTTGTATAATTAAAGTCGTCTTGGCTACAGATGAAACAGGCAGCGCTTTGTAGGGTCTTCCATTATGTTTCCAGTCCATAGACAAGCATCTGGGTCAAAATGACGGCAAGGAGACCTAGAGGGCCAGAGAATCTCAGTTCTCGTGAGCGATCTGCGTTGCTTTTTCGAAAGCGATACAACTCTACTAAAAGAAATGGATTTCGTGAGAAAGTAATTTCCGGAGGGTTTCTCTTTTCGGATTTTATCCAGTATGTGCTGCACTTTCTCTGTTGACACTCACGACATACGAACACGAGATCCTACCCCACGCTGTGATACTTGATCTCAGATTTCCCTGAAAAGTGCTCCGTCATTTGGACATGAAAGTATTTTGTTATTCTCACCCGCAGAGACGTCGCGAGTTTGAGATGCAGCAGAGGGTCTTCTGATCCGCCGCCATCACCCAGACACGCAAGAATTTGTAACAGCCTGCAGTCTCAAAAACCGACAGTGAGAAAAGAGCATTTCTTTTACAAACAAGCCACTTCTGTTGCGATCGCATTAACCTCTCTGTCTTGGGGCCCAGCAAATTCGCAAAGTCTCGGGCTCGAGTCCCGATTCGTGTTTGTTTATTTCTCTTTACAGCTAGTCTTCATCATCCAACATTGCTCGTGTTTTCTTGTACTTTTAAGTTACTCCCCGGTCAAACAGTCCCAGGTAATACGCGAGAAATCATTCGTACAGAAGAAACAGGATGTCAGTACCTTCGTTTATCTGCAGAGTGGCATGAAAACTCCCCACCTTTTACAGAAAACTGATACTGAATATGGACACGGGGTCTTCAACATCAAAACAAACACGGTCCGACGCCCGCACTCAGTAGCGGAAAGCAATCGACGTTTTATTTCAATTCAGATAAGTACTCCGGTATCTAGCAAGCACTCGGCGCAAATCAAGGCTAAAAGTGACAGACCATTTGTCTCGAAAAGTGAAAGGTGCCGCTGATCGAAAGCCACGCCGATAAACGATATCGACTAAACATTGCTTGTGGCTTGGCACATGGACGATTGAGAGTGGAACACCTAACACAGGAAGGTTTCATTTCGAAAGCGCCCTAAAACACTCACCGCATGCAGGAATGGTCAACATTGCATACAGAATTTTGGTGAGGAACCTCTTGGCAATAGACAACTGGTGGGTGGAACTGGTTTGGAACTATCCAATGGCGAACTAACAAAATTCTGAGGTGTTGAAAACCCCTTTCTGTCTCTTGCTGCTAGTTAGTGGTCTTATGGCAAGGAACAGGGAAAAGAATATATTCCTTTGTGATGATCATTGTGTGTGTGTACCGTAAATTATCTTTGTCAACCAACCGACAGGCCTTATATTACCAGGCTAGAATAAATGTTTGTACGTTTGTGTGCTGTGTACGCATGAAGGGCCACGGGACCAGCGGCGGATGGACATCGCAAAGGGAGCATCTGGAAACATGTAGGCGCCATCTTGGTCGGATAAAAGAACTTGGTAAGATGAGGGCGCCACAAAAAGAGACGAAATAATATCGGACTTTTATTTCTTAAATTATTGTGGTCGTAAATCAAGGAATGTAAAATGACATAAGAAATGCATACAAAAACTAAGTCAGGAAACGTGAAGAGCAGATGCCTTTGCATTCTGTGCCTTAGCAGAGGGTGAACAGGGCGTTTGTTTCTAAGTGGTTGGGCGCGTTAAAGGCGCTAGGACGTTGACTGGCTCACGACAGGAACGAGTGACCGTCTGAAGATGGGTGTCTTCTGGGTTGCAGCGCCGTGGAAAACTCGTGAGAGTCTCTTCTGAAAACGGCGATGAACCTTCAGGTTTAAAGCGGCGAGGAGGAATATGTCTTGGCTAGCTGAGAGACTTTTAACATTTGAAGAAGAATTGTGCTCCACGGAGTGTGATTCCAGCAGACTTCATCGAACCGACCAGCTGGCTGTCACACCCAGTAAATGTTCTGCCGCAAACAGTCTGTGTGTGTGTGTGTGTGTGTGGTGAAAAATAGTAATCGATAGTTTTATTAATGACGTCTCGTCTGTCACCGTGAAACCATACATTTTACTGGGGCCTGTACGTACGTATTTTTTGTGTTTATTGTCGCTGCATTAATCACGCTGTGATCACCCCCATGCAGCACATAACCATAGAGGAAGAAACTTTACAAACGACGCGAAGTTTGAGGCCTGAACAACATAAAACGGAGTCACTGCTCTAAAATGTTGGCCTGGTCATTGCATCTTTAATCAACAGCAGAAAAATTTCAAACTGACTTAGAATATCACTTTCCAGGAGAGATCACGTCACTGGCTGACCCAAGAACACGAGTCGATATATCGATATATCGGGCGCTCTGGAGCAACGCACTGTATAAGCTTCGAGTGATTTACGGAATATCGAGCAGATTTCTAGCGAAACATCTTCTGACAGTGCACACAGTTTGTGCTCTGAAGTCGGAAACGACGGACTTATCGGATCGGATCACATCCGATAACGATATCGATAATATCGAATCGTCTGAAAGCGGTCACTCTCATACCAGGGACAGAAATTTCAGCACGAAGTCGCCTTTGAACAAGATAATGCAGCTTTACGTTTCGTCTCCTATCAAAACGACACAGAATTCGTCTTCATGTTACCTCACAACCTTTTTCTCGGATTTGAAACCGGCATCCAGACCAGATTTGCGGGTAGTTTGAAACCTTAAATATATTTATTACGGTTTAAATTGGCGCTTTCCAGTCGCTGATTGGGACTGAGCCTCCAGTACGCATGCCCTACTGATACAGATATTTTTCAGTATGTTCCTACACCCCAAGTGAAACATGTTTTCGGTTCAGGGTGTACAGACTCGATTCTCTGGCATCCCCCCCCCCAGAGCCAGAGCCAGAGCCAGAGGGCTGCTGTGTCCAGAGTAATTTATGTTCTTACCCCTGGAAGCGGGTGACCACGTCTGATAACACACAAAAATGAAAAAAATTATTCTTTCAGCGTTTTTGCGACCAAACAGGGCATTTGAGTCTGATCTGAATAATAACCAACACAAGCAGTTTCGCAATCTGTACGCTTCATCACACCAATTACGACCATCAGATAGGAAACATGTAACACGGACTGACGGGATTAAATACGACCACTTTCTTTAAGCCCGGAACCATGGAGGAAAGAGACCGTTTGGGAGACCAAGACGTAGATGGGAGGATAATATTAAAATACCTATTAAATTGTATGTTGACAGGATTCTTGTGACTGGGAACAGGGATCTGCATTGGTTATTTATAATAGAAATAATCTACCAAATTTATCCTTTTTCTAATGCGCCATGTGGCTCATGACTGTTAACTTTTCACAGATAATTACATGTTGATCATTCTTAGATTATTTAATACACGTATTACAAGAAACAGTATCGCAGGCTAAGAAATATTATTGTTGTTGCAATAACATTGACGCTTGTCCTAACAATCTTTGTAACTTAGACAACGTTCTTACAATTTATTATTTAATTTTGTATCAGGTACATAACAATTTTTAGAAGCACGAGCTGTTCTGATGCTAACGATGAAATCAAAAATTTTGAGGCTATAATCGACCTGCACGAAACAAATTTAAATTCGCCACAACATAAGTAAATATTTCGACAGAATTGTGATACATGTATATCATATATAACATTACATGTATGAATACTACGTATGTATAATGTTTAGCATGCGTGGCTTTCGATTTGAAATTTACAGATGTGAGTAGAGCCGTATTTTGATTTATGAAATCCAAAATGCATTTACAGATCCAGGGAAACCAGTGATTATACCTCGCTGCCTAAAATTCAAAATTCCTTTCCATTGTTTCCTTCTTAATAATCTCATGAACTCCAGAATCGATAGCAATGGCACCGAGACGCAGTTGACGCCCCGCCAAGTTTAAATTGGCTCTGTTATAACACGTCAATTCCATCAGACATCATCTCCAAATAGAAACAAAGCTTCAACACTTCTGCTAAGACGTGTCTCTTTCAAACTATAACCATAACTTTTTTGTTATTTTATAGCCGATATCTTCATTAAGCTCGTAAGTCTACAAAATCTAAATTATACCATGTAAGAAAACATGTAATGTCGGTCAGTACGTAGACAGCAGAGGAAATAGAAATCAGTTTTTATAAAACACTTTCAGTTCATACTAAGCTACAGGAAGTGAATCTCGGAGATTAACGACGAGGAACAAAAGATTTAAACAGATTAATTTTCAGACTCTGTTTTGCAGTGGGCTTTAGAATTAAATATTGTTTATAAGGCAGAACGAATTTAAATAATACGGAGTGGCTAAAACAAAAGAATTTCGCCTCACGAAGAAGATTCATTCTGGATCTTGTAAATATTTTAAGATAGGCTAATAAACTATGATTGAATTTTAAAGAAAGCAGCAATGGTTGAAGGAGCAGAAACATCTGATGTTGTTGATGAAAATCGTTTGGCGTCTCTTTGTAATGGCCCTGCAGAATGAGTAGCGTATTTCATAGAATTCAGCAGTTGTACAGCGTGGAAAGTTCATTCATGAAACACAAGGGTTCTAGAAATCGAAGAGACTAAGAAGGCGTGACAAAGCCCCTCACAGAATTGCAAGATAAAGACGTGTGACGACAGAGTAATTAAGTTCCCCTTTTTTATGTTGACAGTTGAGAATCGGAAAGGTTTAAAGCTTTCAATAAATCTTACGTTCTAATTCGCTAAAATTTAATTTAGAATAAATTACGTTTCTGTTTCAAGCAAGACAACTACATTAGAAACAATCTTACCTTGTTGTTGAAGTTTTTGAAGGAAGTAACAGTGTCCCTCGAAGTTGTATGCCATGGGATTACAAAATCTTCTGCGACATGTCTTCTTTGTGAGAAGGGTAACGACGCAGGGCAGCCAACAAACAGAAACGCAGGCCGCGTAACTACTCGCGATGAAGTTCCCCTCGTTTGTGTCTAGAACCGCTATTATTATAATTTTTACTTCGTCAAATTCCTTGGCAGCAAAAATTGCATTTGTCTGCTTGTTTATTGTGTAAAATTGTATGGTAATTTCGGTCACTCTCGGTCTACGATAATTTGAATCTAGTGAAGTTGGAAACAAATCATCGTGTGGTCTATTAAGTCTAGATCCACTATTACATTTATAGATGACGTTTTCCTTTCCAGGCATGGAGCTTTTTATGTATTCGGCAGGATCAGAAATACAAGTGCTCGCTTCAAGAATTGAAGACTTCCTGTTTCTCCTTATCAGAGCGATAGGCGAATTCAAACTCTTTCCTTTAAGAAATATTCTTGACGTCTTTAGGAAGTTGAAACACTCATCTGCTATGTTGGTATTAAGTTCTGAATGTGTTGGACCAGAATTCAATTGCGTACTCGTTATAGGCCTAATTCTGCTCGTCCTAGAGGCGCTGATGTCGTGGGCAGAGGCCAGTACGAGCTTCCCAAATAACATCGGTATATCCTGGCACTTTGGTCCTTCATAAAGACCCGTCAGCCCCCGCCGAGCTCCAACTCCGCCCGTGACACATGCCCACGTTCCAGCTCCTCCAAGACAGTCGGACAAAGATTTAGAAGTTACGTGAGAATGCTGACGAATACAGGAAATCAGACAATAAAACAGCAAAGTAGCTTGTGTATTCATTACTATTTGTGCGGTTAAACCGGTTTAACGCGCGTCGCAACAGAATAAAGGCCGCTTATAACAGCAAAGCCGACCGAAAATCCGGTAAAAGACAGAGCGTTACGTGAAAGAGTATAATTCAGCTGGATGCGAGGTTTCCACTGCTTCTCCGATCGTCTGAGTGACAAGCTGTGTCAGGCGATTATCATGGAGGGCAGCGCAAACATTGCTCTTATCAAAGAGGCCCGAAAATAGTACGATGCGTCATGGAGCCGTGGACCGTCAGCGGTAGGGCAACCCAAGTACCCATCACTGGGAGCCGTCAGCAAATGAAGCTCTTGGCTGTCACTTCACACCCATGTGGTCCAAAGGCCCTCACTCAGTGTTCTTACCCTAAGTGAGAGATCAGGTTTCGCTCTTTGTTCATAAAAAACAGCTGAAGTCACAGTTTTGCACGTTTTAATCTTTATCTCTCCAGACAGGAGACGAGAAGACAAACATTCTGAACTGCATGGACCGAATAGACTCTGACCTTAATCTCCTCACAAATGTAATTCTAATTTGTATAATCTATAAAAAAAATTGTGCATTGGTAAACGAATGTTATATTTCAAGTTCTTTAAAATTAATTAATTAATTAATAGTTTCTAAAATTCGCCGAGCTTCAAGTGAGTAGCCGTGAATAAGGTTTAAGTGTCTGAAAAATGGAGTAATTAATCTAGCATCTGACCTCTTATTTAACGGAGATATGAACTATTGAATTTAGTACCAAGCCAAGTACGCGTGTTCTCAGTTTCGTAGAGTCTCGCGCAGAGAAGTGTCACTAACATTGACCGCTGTCGGCAGAATCATGAATTCCAAGGCTTTAGTCGTCGTTTTTAACCACGTTGATCAGGGATGTGATATTCTTGGGCTGCACACACAGTGAGGGAGTGCCTCGTGTGTACCCCGATCGATAGCGTGAGAAAGGACGAGGGAAGTAACCTTCTCGGAGAGGTCAGAGGTGGAGGGAGACCTCGGCCACAACCCTGGGATGTGAAAGCAGGACGCAAGCTTATCGGCCGAGAGACGCTGAATGTGACGCAGACAGGCGTCTTCAGTGTCTTGACCTGCAGATGGCTTAGGCGAGGTTTGGTCCGCGACGCTTCGGGCCTAATGGATTTTGTTTTCGTAAGAGGCTTTCGAGGACAACAAAGAACACCGTTTCTGAATCAAGGCGTAGGTTAGCTTCAGGAGCTACCCTCACTAAAGTAACATCTCAGTATGCAAGTTGGTCGTAGGGAAATGAGACATTTGCAAAAGTGGCTTCACTCCGAAATAATTTCCTGTGCCCTGACGTCAATATGCAAGTTTCGAAATCTCGGCCCGGAGACCGGCTCTCCTGACTGGGGTTTTCCTCAGTCCCTTCAGGCAAATTCTAGGATAGTATCTCAAATTAGGCACGACCTCTTCCTTCCACATCCTTTAAAATTCACTATTCACAGTCATCGACGGGAAAAAGACTGAGCGTCCTTTAATAAACTATAAATAAATACATTTCATGAATCAAATACCTACAAATGTGCAACGAACTCCATTGAGTACAGTGTTTTTTGACTTAAGCAATTTCTCTTATTTTATGGAATCCGAAGGCGTTTTACTTTTTTCGCAAAGCCCCGCCTCCGGCCGCCATCAGGAAACAGACACAGTCCTATTTCACTTCAATTTTGTCTTTCTATGACTAGGTCTTTCAAGTAATCGCTTCCTTAGAAATTCTTGGTATAAACTTTGTTTTCGTGTTAAAACCCTTACAGCTCGTCTTTAAAATCCAGTTTGTAATCCTTCTACCCTTAGATCTTCCAAGTTCTCTTTCATACAAAATGTTCGATTTTCTGTTTATCTCTCTTCAAAGTAACGTACCTTCGCGCGTGGACTGACCTGCCATCTTTCAGCCGGGTACTGTACCAACTGCTGTGTAGACGTCTTCTCAATCTCTTCCATTTATTTAAAACTTGTACCTGACTGTGAAATATTGTAAAACGAGGATATCCGAACAAAAATGACGTTATTCATGAATTTACAGTTGGTGAGGATTAAGAAGGAACTGCTACATCTTAACACAACATCAGATGTTTAATGTTCCAAATATTACTAATATTTGAGAGTTTGTTGTGAATGCATTCTACATTGTCTACGACTACCAATCATTGAGGTCACTGTTTTGGTCAGGGGTTAAGACGAAAGCTCCTCTCTCCTACCTGTTTACATCAGTATTTAGCTATAATTAAAGGAACTCTAGTCTGACGGAAAGTCTGTCATGACCTTTCACTCTTTAATGACGATCGGCCGGCTGTTACAGCGTTAATTGAAGCCACTCAAGCCTTGAAAATTAATGATAAATCATATTACATCTCGACGGTAACCTACAGTCATATTTCATTCACCATGAAATTACCCCCTGGTGGAGGGATACGGAAATTCTACTCTCATTTCGATAATCGATCGGGAGTGAGTAAAGATTAATATTTTTTTGTAATATCATATACGTTAATAATACAATAAAATATAAGACGAAGTGAAAATTTCAAAATTTTAAGGATTCTCTGTGGTTCTTAAGTTAGTGCCATCTCACAAATGTAGAAACTGACGTTTCTGTGAACGAATAGTTTGTAAAAAATGTTTTGATCTTCCTCAAGTGTCAGCTGCTTAATGTGGATGTTTTAAACTTCCTCAAGTGTCAGCTGCTTAATGTGCAGATGACAGAAGAAGGCTGCCAGAACACGAGAGGAGATCTATGACTAACTTGCAGTCAAGAATCATCTGGATCTTCTATATATTAGGTTACTTTTTCTGTATCTCGCTCTCTGTGGCTATTCTACCCCCCTCCTTGTCTTTCTACCTGCTAGCATTCATTACTCAAAGGCCTTCGGCGACCCATTTGAAAACTTTCACGACCCGAACTTGGATCGTGACCCACGGATTAGGAACCTTTGACTTAGGCGTTGCATTTCGTAGAGGCAAAAGGAAGGATTAATGTGAATCCTTACTTGGTTATTTTGACACATCAATACACAATGATGGTCGTATATAAATTATTGACAAGTTAGAAGCTTTTAGACACGGTCACAATTTGTAAAGCCACTGTCTTCGATAAATTTTAAAACACTCTTATGTAGATAACAGTCAAACTTGCTTTATATTTTGTACGTAATGTGTTATTTTTCTTTCAAAACTTTATTTCCAACATACGCATGTGCGCTATTACAAGACTAAACGCCCCCTGCCAACTTCACAGTTCATCGAGTCGTTGTGTAAATGTAAACTGAGCTCTTTGGAACCTGCAGTCCAGAATCATGGCAGCTTCAACAGCCACGGTGTGTTCTTGCGCGTCCCTCATCCTAACGCCAACTCTTGCCTTCCAGCAGTTTACTCCAATCTTCGTGGATTTATTAATATCTGTTCAGAAGTACTTCAGCGCAGGATACATAAGTTTCGTGTACCCAGACAACGTGACAGACAAACGTGAGTTTATTATTCTTCATCACCACTGAAGATTGTCTTCGCCTGTCCCTCCTGCAACCGCTGCAGCAGACATAATCTTTCCTTGGTCATCTCTGCTTTCTCCTGTCTTTAGGGTCCAATGGCACAGCAACGTCCAGACTTCTCTCTGAGTGTTTTATTAATTTCTTTTAGTGTTTTCTTATAATTGCGCTGACAGGCTGAACGCTGTTTTAGTTAAGTTTATCACCCGGAATTCACAATCACGTGACCGCTTTGAGGAGTTGTACGAAATCATGGCGTCTCATTTATTATTTTAATGAGGTCAAACATTTAAATCGATACCGAACATGGGCACAGCAGGATTTTGATACGTTTTGCCTTTCAGAGTTCCCCCAGTAATGTGCCGTCCAACGACTTTAAATGTATTCAGTTTTATACTAACATTATAGTGTCTCTTGCAACTCAGTACAGCCTGTTAATTAGAATTACTTATGTGTTTAAGCAGTATTTTTTCAGATAACTCTCCTCCGAAAAAGATTTATTTCCCTTCTGAGATATCACATTTCATTTTGTGTTTATCAACTTCTGTAGTAGTATATAATTTATAAATACTCTTCTGTACAGACAAATACGTAAAAATCTGTATATAACCCTCTGGCTTTATCGCCCATATATCGCCTATACGCATTTACGTTTACAATATACATAAAGTGTCCTACCTAAAAGTTTGTCTGAAATACGAACATGGCTACCCAGTTCCTTGTGTAGCCAACCTTGAGGAATTAAATTCCTCTATGTTAAAGGAGGTCTCCCGCATGGCGTTCCCCAAAGAAATAAAAATATTGGGGTTAAATCTGGCGAAGGTGGTGGTACCCACCCTCCAGGTCCACCGCGTCCGATCCTGTGATCAGGAAATAGTCCACGAACTTATCGTCTGCATAATATTCGAGACAACCAAATTTTTGAACGACTTTGCAATGGTAAATCTTCCAGGAGGATACGCAGAATCTGTCATGGAGAATCTGAGTACCTCTGTTCTCTTAACGATCAATCAGTAAAGTGCGACCCAATGATGTGATTATACGTACATACGTAGGTACGCACAAATCGAATTCAATACATACTTACTATATACATACGTAGGTACATGCAAATCGAATTCAATACATACTTACTATGGTAAAGTGTGTCATACAGAACACCAAAATGTACGAAAGAATTGAGCAGGAAACACGTGCCTTGATCCATTGTCTCCCTGGAAACAACGTACAAATTCTGTACCATTGCATCGGCTTTGACGCCGTGTGTTTCTTAGAGACGAGACTGAAAATGATGACAGAAGACGCATATTAAACAGCGATGTGATTTAAAGAGACTTAAAAATTCAACTACTGCGGTTATTAACGTGAAGTTTGCTCCAACGCATTCACGAATCTAGTGGTTTTCCGTCTGATGCACTATGTTGTCTGGCTCGTGGGTACTTTGTCCGAGTGCAGTTGGTATTGATGTTATGCCCCTCAACGTCAACTGTCTTAAATTCAATAAGTGGTCTCTGATTGGCTTCTCCGCCCAAGTGACTATGCCTGAAACGTCGGAAGCTATGAATATCGGCAGTCCTAAAAAACTGAATTTTTATTTGGTGATTCATAGTTTCAGTAAAACAGCAGATGGCCGATGTGATAAAGAACCTTGGTGAGCATGACGTCATGTCAACAGCAGCCAGTTACCGGAAGTTGAAGGACCCTCCTCTGAGGGGCAAGACTCCACTTCACTTCGTACTTTCAGACAGTGCAAACGGGGATCTGAGAGAGGTCAGTCTGCCAGTCCCCGCCTCAGCTATAAATTAGTCGTGTGGTTCATGAGGTTTTGCCCGCCAACTTTCTTAGCTCCACGCGGCGTCGTGATTTGAAGGGATGAACGTCAACGCTTTCGACCTGAGTCCGCGCGAGGAGGAACATTGGCTGACTTACATGAGTCTACTTACAGTCGTAGTTTTAGACCAGTTTATGACTCACAAAAGACTGGGATCTTTGTATATCATCAAGCCTCACTGGGAGCTTATCTGTTGCTCTCAGAACATATTTCACGCCAGGTTTAAAAAGAACCAGCTGCGTAAGTTTAGTCCAGCAGAGTTGGTTCACACGTCATCTCTTTGAGCTGTATTTCTTGTTTGTGTTCAAGTTATATACTTTCTAGGTAATTTCTTCTGTGATGACAAATTCAAAGACGACGAAATTCACAAAACAAAATGCGTGAACATAAGAATTCATACGCCTACGACATTTTGGTTGGAAGACCCGGACAAAGAGGCCATTTCAAAGACCCAGGCGACAGTATTAAAGCAAATCGTTGTGTCTTCTGACGTTGCAGAGTGGATTTGTGTAAGACTCGGGTATGGTGACAGGCTCTTGTATACATTTGCGTGGGTTATGCTTTAATCAGGTAGTGGCTACAGCTAATCTAGAAGGTCTCTCGACAAATCCAATAATAAAAGTCTATTCAACCTAAACTAAAAAAAAAATGAGTATCTTAAGCCTCGTTTACACTAGTCAAGCAGCTTAAACCAAAGTCACTTCAAAACAAGAATTTAAAAGGAAGTTATTAATTTGAACTGTGTTTTAGGTAAGTTTCAGGTCTGCTGAAGGGAATGTTTCAAGTGAAATCAATGAAAAAACATTCAAACTTATTACTTTAATTTAAATGACTTGAATAAAAATTTCAAAACTCTGAACTAGTAATTGACTGTTCCGTTTTTTGAAACGTACGAAAAAAGCAATTTTTGTTTCGCTAGTGTCGTTGAAAAACGGACAGGAATGCAATATTTTGTTTTTTGTTCGGAAAATTTGTTTTTGTGAACATTCACAAAACAAGTGAAGTCGCATATGAACATTGTTTAAGCGTTGAAAGCGAGAGACGAGGTAATGGAGATGTTCCGTGAGGAAATCATCATTTAAGTGTGAACTGCAGATTGTGTTTGCATAAAAATGAAGATGTTCAGACAATGTACAGCCAGGAACTGAAAAACAATTTGAAGTCAAAGACGAGTGGCGAAGAAACCATGATTTGTACAAGCTGAAACTAGTGTGATTTTATATACTCACGTGACTTTTACGGAATTCTCAATCTGCCGAGACCAACTCATCCGTGACGATGCATCGAACTGATTTACTATTCGCCTTTTTCCAATGAAACTTGCCTTTTGGAGAACATGAGCTTGGATTAAGGCGACTTGCATTCAGACAAGTGGACTAGTGCAAGCGAGCACAAAGAAGATCTTGTATAACATATTGTAATATTTCGTATATACATGCGGATATTTTGAATTCTTAAAGGAGAACAACACGCAGACATATATTCAAAATTGTTGGCATAGCCTTCATTTCAACCAATAGTATGTATATATGTATATCCGTATATTAAACAGGGCGAGATATAATGAAACACATTTCGCAGTTAAATATTTTAAATCGTTCACGTGCCGACGTCTTAACCGCAGATCTTGGCGGAGATGTCTCTGAAGACTGCCGTGTGGCTCTGGCAAGTTGAGGCGGTCCCTTCGCTTCACGAGGTGCTGCGAGGCGTCCGGGTGACTCTGGACGCGAGGTTCCTCGTCGCGCAGATCGTGGATCACTGCGTCTTGCTGTCGGAGGTGTACCAGGTCTCTGGCAAGACGCAGCTACGACGCTTCGCCACGTGGAGTAGGAAAAGCGGGCTCCGTGGACCAGTAAGAGACGACTTCCTCGACCGGCGATCAGACCTTCAGGGAACTGTCATCAATGTATCTTCAGTCGAGGTCTCGGGACTGTCTTTTCACTGACCCTTATACACATCCATACACGCACACACGAGCATGCGTCCATACATGCGTAAATATGCACGTACATACGCGCATAGTCACAGACGCGGATGCATCGTACACCGTATTTGTTCGCTTAATTCTCGTTCTAGAATAGTCCGTGCACCCTGATTTTTCAATCTGAAATTAAAAAAAAACAATAGTAATCACTAATTTCTTTTCAGTCTAGAGCCCATTCACGATTCAACATTCGTTTGTCGACCATGCAAGTGTAGTTGAAGAGCCTCGTAGGCATTAGGTTGCCGCGAAAGTTGAGTAGCCCTGAAATTTCCTAACTCAACCCGTGGTACTTGCTATACAGTTGTTGAGTACTCTCTGTTCGTATTCAGTTCTATTGTTTCTTAGCTGAGAGAAAAATTTTAGAGACTTGAGTGGATGTGATATTTCGTGATATTCCAGGGTGGATAAACTGAAATATTGGAGCAAAACACCAGGTTCCAAATTCGAGGTAACCTGACACGCGGAAAAACACGGCAATAGGCCAGGCGGTCGTGAATTTGCCGCGCGCTGTTTATGGAAACACAAAGATGTTCTTCTTTTGCTCGCCAGAAAATCATTTCGTGGACCGAAAAGTGGACAAGTCCGTGACCTTGAATATAAGATACTCGATTATGCTAGAGGTTTGGACCAATAATGTCGCACGAAACTTTGCTTTCCGAAGGACGCGACATAGCAACGAGGCAGGGCATCAGCCCTTCGCAATTCAATGTTAGCTCAGGCGAGGAAGACGAACATCGCCCAGCTATCGAATGCCGAAATATTTTGATGACGAAATTACAATGGTTCACAAACTTGTGACCGGACTGAGTGGAAACAACAACTGCTTGATATCGCATTTAAGGGATGACGAAGACAGACTTACGGAGATGAAAACTGATCTCTCAGTCTTTCCTGATTTGTTAACGTCAAATTTCATAGTTTCTTGATGTGTAAATTAACAAGCCGTTGAAAGGACAGTGTTACAGAACTGTAGTGAGGAATAAGATCATAATGTGGTAGGTACATAAAGTAATATTGAGTATTATCCTTGGCAACAGGAAGTGCATTTTGTCGTTGAAGACTCTCCACATATAAAGTAATATTGTGTATTATCCTTGGCAACAGGAAATGCATTTTGTCGTTGAAGACTCTCCACAATATTTCCTCTCATAAATCACGCACCTCAATTTTCGATCGCAAAAATATGGAAAATTTGTGCGAGAATTACATGTTTACGTGCGTGGTTCCAACTATTCTTGCGCACAAACGTGGCTGCATGCATAAATGCGTGTGTCCTTCCGTACATGAATGCCTGCACACATGTAAACATAAATCCACGCATGCGTTTATCTACCTGGAACATTTCTGTCGATATGTTACAAGTGTAAAAGTTACGTCTCTCCTGCGTCGTGGAGTATGGAGGGAACAACAGGATTCCTCATTTGTGTTGAGTGTGGCAATTTGACTGCGTTGCTCACTGTCGCTTTAAACTTTGCAGGGACCTCCGATGACGACGGTAAACAGTGAATCAGACCGGATCACGGGGTTCGTGGGGGACGTCTGGGCAGAACTGGAACGTCGAATGAATTTTACGTAATTACGTATTTATATATGACTTCATAACATTATACATTAAATACTAATGACTAAAGTGATTAAAATTTAAAATATCCAAATTCTTTGTACGTAAACGAAGAGATGGACTGTGTAATGAAACTGGAAAATAAATGTTACGCAAATGCTTTCTCACTGGTGATTACGTTCGGATGAAGGCAAGACTCTGCCGTACTTTCGCTGACACAATTACACTCTTCTCTGTTCAATCTCATCAAATAAACTGAATCATAATTATTTTTTAACTTAAATCTG